TTGAGTATGTGTTTCATACATAATAAAACACATACATGGTGGAACCAGTAACTCGAAACAGATTGTTTACCACCTCCCAATGCTACAATGTAGCTTGCAACAATAGAAATCCTGATAATTTCACTTTTAAATACTTTCTTAATTCTGAAAATGTTGTAGTTTTAAAATTTTTATAAAAAAAAAATCCAAGCCCTCTTAACCCCATCCCGTCCCTTTTTCATCCACACCCTGACAAAACACTCTCTTCATCAAGGCTTGACGAATAAAACACTTCTAATGTCAACTAAATTCATCAAAACAACGGGGATGTCATAATAAGTACATAGATGCTTTAGCTTTATAAAGGTATAACAATTTCCCCCAGGGTATCACTTTTATGGAAGGGCTCGATGATCATTTAAGGGGCGCTAACTCGCAAAATAAGGTGATTTTAGGTGCTTTTAACTACTTTACCGTGATTTTTAGGGGTGCACCGGAGAGGGGGACGAGTAAATTTTGGAGGGACGTATGCTCTCTCAGAAACCCCTAACCCCCGCACCCAGATAGGCCTACGCCACAGCTGTTTGTGTTAGCCTATATGTATGCAAAGTATTGGGTTATCACATCGGCCTATGAGTACTATAAGGAATGAAACATTTGGGATATATTTTTTCAGATGTTTTTAGCACATTGGGGCCTATGAGGCTGGAGGTGAGAAATAGGAATACCTGTAGTGTAAAGTAAAGGACTATAAATTGTCGCATCATTGGATCACTCAATTACTGTATAAGCACAAATTCTTTTACTTAATCATTTTCAAAAGTAATTCAATCTCAGGCACTTAACAACAGGCCACAGTTCACCAACTTGTGCTGTGCATGCATACAATCTTTGTTGCTAACCTTCAGCCATGGTCCAAGGCTACTCAGCTCGAATTACTTAAATCGGATTGGCCATGGTCACTTCAAGACCTAGAATGCTGTTTTTTCATTTTTTTTTAAATTATTTCTTTATTCATATAAGCCTAGGCCTAGAGGTAAATTTTATTATACTAATCATTTCTAACTTAGCCCTAGGTTAATTATATTTACATCTAATTGTATTCGGCAAAATAATGCCAAACATTATTATAAATGTATTACATCCATCATATCATATTTCTTTTCTTTCAATAATTTCAGAAATATTTATTCGTTTAATATTACCAAAAAAAAAAATTAATCATGCATACAAATGTAATATTTTATTCATTTTCAATTCATGTGCATTTAGTTAAAATGCATTTAAACAAGTTAAAATACTTTGGCGTCCCGGTGTGAAATGAATAGTTGATTTTGGATGTTGCCAATCTAAAATAAACAGTTTACCAAAAAATGTTTATCAGAAGTAAACATGCACCTGTTTAATTCCACAGTCCTAGATTTATTTTGAATGTTATCTATGAAACTTTGACATTTAGATTGAGAAATTACCAAAAGTTACGTACAATAATAATTATAAATAAAGATGTAACCCTCACGGACCAAATACTGTGGAATGGCCCCTGACAAAAATAACCCCGCTGGGGTAGCCAGCCTATTTTAACAGTGTAGGCCTACAGTTTACTTTTAAACTTCCCTGTTGTGAATTTGAAAACGGTATGGTAATATCCAAAACAAACTTTGCATGTAGCCAATTTGAATCTAAATAAATCCGTAATATTCGTGTATATGATTTTGTTTTACTGTATACAATAGTACCCTTAATAGGGGTGTCCCCTGAATAGGGGTACCTCTATTCTGGGGACACTAACAAAAAACAAAAGTTTTCCCCTTAATAGGGTTTTTGGCATGCATTCATGTAACGATGACATACATTCTTTATAATTTCATTTTTATCACATAAGATTCAGTTTGAGTAGAGTAAGAACTTATTGCAATAATTTGCAATGCAAATACAATTCATCTACAATATGAAATCAGCAGAAATGTAATTAAAAAAACAATATTTAAAAGTAATATATTCCCAATATCCTTTCATTATGCAATGTTAATGACGAAATATTCTTATATTTTTTTCATTGAGCTTTCTATAAATGATCAAATAATTTTATATGGTTTGAAATAGTATAAGGTGATTAATATATGTATGTGTAGCGTCTCTACTATTTGTATTTAAACCGCAATATTTAATTTGTATGTAATCTTTTATACTTCATTTATAAACCTTACTCTATGTATATTATACTATTTTCAGCGTAAAGGTCAATATCAACTGAGGACTGCAACCTGTTTTCTTATGGTACCAGGAACTTAGATGACAATTAAGTCAGAAATGTACCATGGCTAACTTACCCCACTTTTAAAAACTAAAACAATGACATCATATAATCATCCTTAATTCTATACAATGTGTATGTGAAACGTACTGAAAAGGTAAACAAAGAGTGTTGTTATTTATAAATAACAACACTCACATTAGAACTTTCTATTAGATGGATATAGCATGAATAGAGTACTGTAATATGTTTTGATATTGATTAGAATCCTATATGAAATACACAAAAAACAAAGAAAAAGAAATCCCAATTGTTAAGGGTCAAAATTGGTTTACGAAGTAACACGTGCAGTGTGTTAGAGTGTTGTAGATGTTGTGATACAATGAAAAAATACCCCCTTAATAGGGGTTGTTTGCCAATTTGGCACACTTAGAAAGTGTCCCCGTCCCCTAACTAGGGGTTGGCTGTAGTGTTAAAAGATATACTGTCCCTCGTTTCACGGAAACGTGTCCACTTAATAGGGTTGACCTCTGAATAGGGGTGTCCAAAAAAAAAACAGGATTGGAACTGATAATTCACTTTTGATAAAATAAAAAACTGCTAGTTTATTATCTTAGCTACAGTACATTATGTGTATCGTGCTCTTATTTTAATATCTTTGATTCTGAAGGGAAATAACAGATTTTAAATTTGAGTAGGAATGTTTTATGTACTGTGTACATTTACTAATTCATTCTTTGCCTAAAGACACAGACAGCAAAATCACCTTAATTAAAACAATTTAAACGAATAGCATTTTGCATATTTTAATTGACAGAAGACAATTTTCCCATGCCCCTGATTTTTTTGACATGTATAGTGTGAGTTTTCAATCACTTTTTTCCAAAATGCCAAGGACTATGAAATGCATTTTTGAAATGCAAATGACTATGAAATGCATATTTCGCTCAGCTCTGTTTTAAAGTATTTTATTTGTATCTTTCAGCAATTGTGGAACTCCGAAAAAAGTTAATGCCAACAAGCCATTATGATTCAATATTTCGAACTTGATTTGTTCAATTGCAGAATTCATGCTCTCTTAAATAGATTGAATTTGGACCAGATGTGAATAACGCAATACAGTACCCAACCAGTTTTTGTGGTTCACTTACATTTCAATTCCTATTCAGCCCTGAAAAAAATCAGATATAGCCCAACATGGGCCCGTAAATTATTTTGGACAAAACCCACATTGGTCCCAAATAAAACCATAATGTAAACCTAATGGGCCCAAATATATCTTTTAACGGGCCCATGAACTTTATGAGACCTATATGGATTTTGGGGGCACAGGCAGCTCATTCCCGTATGGGCCAATTTATAGTGGGTCCTTACATTTCAATCCTCAAAAACCCCAGATATAGCCCATAATGTCCCCATGAATTAAGTTGGTAAAACCCATATGGGTCCCAAATGAAACCACAATGCAAGCCTAAGGGGCCCAAATATATTCGTTAAAGGGCCCATGAATTAATTTGGGACAACTTTATGGGGCCCATATTGAGTTAGGGTGCACAGGCAGCTCTTTCCCATATAGGCCAATTTATAGGGTCCTCTTACATTTCAACCCCGATTCAACCCCTTAAAATCCAGATAGAGCCCACAATGGGCCCATGAATTAACTTGGACAAACCCATATGGATCCCAATTTAAACCATAATAAAAACCTTAAGGGACCCAAATACATTCTTTAAAGGGCCCACATTTGCATTTGGGCCAAACATTAAGGGACCCTTAAGGATTTAGGGTGCACAGGCAGCTCATTCCCGTATATATGGCCAAACTGTAGGGGGCCTACATTTTGGCCCATGCATTTCCCATATGGGCCCATGTTTGCTTGCTACCTGGAAAGCAGTTAGAGCGACTTATACATTGCTGCGCTTTTAATTAGGTGTCTCGATTCTACACAACCACGGATCTGTGACCCAACGAACAATAAAATCACCGTGTGAATAGAAAATAAAACACTAAACATGAAGTAATTTAAATACTAGTTTTATTGACAATACAGTAGCTTTCGTGCACATAGACGACTACATTGTTACGTCACGATACCACATGATACTACTCAGTTGCTATCAGCGACCCAAAATGCGGTCAACCAGATCCATTGTCTCCACTGACAAATGTACCAATTTATAATGTAATTATTAAGATGTATTATAATTTTTCTCTGCAATTTAATTGACGATTAGATATGTGTTTGATAACTAATATAATGCGAGCTTTTGTGATTTTAGTACATTTTTGATGGTAAATTATTAGGTTTAAAATTGCCTATTCTAGAAAGCCTATTCTAAACCATTAATATTATGAAGTCATTCAGGCGTAATGACCGCTTTACCAACGTCTGGTTTACAATAGATGATAACGTTCGGTTATCAGTTTGGTATGAACGCAAGCATAATGCAAAACTGGGATATAGCATAATCGAACATAATGTAGTCAATCGTGTGTGTCTTTAATTGATTGTTACGTGTTGATTTATAGTTTGGACTGTGGATAGGCCTACCTACTCGTGTTAATGTCGAAGCCATCAGCATTGGTAAGTATGATTTCTAAGGCTATTATTATTATTATTATTACAAAAATAATTCCACCAAGACCAAGCGCCTGTAAGTGGATTATATGGATATCCGACAACAGTTGCACTATGTGATTGTTAACTGGAAAGTTATACGTGTGGGCTTCAAGCAGTTTTTATAGGAAATATATGGTTCCTTCGGCTACTAGTAGTGTATTCAACAGCTCTTTCAGAACGTGAACATAATAGACCGATTCGGTGATGGGCGTCACTTGACCTATGGGCGTACTTGGATGTAAACAATGGGGAGGTTTCGCATGCGAATGCATAAGTCAGTGAAACGTGTACGTCATCATTCATGACGTCATACGCTGGCTGCTAACCGTGTGGACGACACTCATATCTCCCTTCAATACACGTACGTGAAAAACGCGTAGGACAATTTTGGATTTCTAGTACGATCTTCATTATTTTATCAAAGTTTAAACAAGAAATATTTCTTTTTAAAAAACGCTGCAACATCTTTATAGTATTTAATTTGTTTATACAGGCAATTCCAAATTTATCTTATGTGTGCATTTTGTTATGTTACATAAACTTAAATTAATTCCAAAGGGTATATGTAACGAGGTATTTTAATATTATTTTAATTTCATTTCCGATAAATACCATGAAATTTAAATTACCGTATTTACAATTGTGAATAAATTAATTTAAAAGGGTATTTTTGTTTAATTTGGTTTTCATTGCCATAAATTAGTTATAACGAGATATTTTAATATTATTTTAGTTTCATTTCCGATATACCATGACATTTAAATTACCGTATTGATTGACTCAATTCTTTCATTTGGATTTTCATTGTAGTATTTCGGCATTAATTTTGATTAATTTTATTATTTATTACTAATTTTTATCATTATTTTTATTCACTGTCGTTGACTGACCAAGGTGTGTGTGGTAGGTTAAGTTGAACCTTAAAATGTTTCATTATCAGCTCTTGCAGGTCCACTGCTGGACGAAAGTCTCAGCATGTTGACCCCAAATCAATCTCATATCAATCTCATCTCTTCATCTTTTACGTTTTCTTCCCTTATTCGTTTTGCCATCCATGGGGGACTCCATCCTTTTACTGCTTTTTGTTTTAAGATACTTAATACTTAACTATATGCCATTAAAATGATTGCACCTGGGGCTCAAACATAGCCTCAGCAACTTGACAGCCTGTCAACAATGCAATTTGGGGTATCTATATATGTACATGGCCGCTCGATAACACCTGACTACAAGTTCAAAAACTAGAATAATAATAATAATAATAATAATAATAATAATTATTATTATTATTATTATTATTATTATTATTATTATTATTATTATTATTATTATTATTATTATTATTATTATTTTTAATAGTATTTTATTTATTTGTATTTATCCCCTTCCCCACTAGCTTGGCTAGGCCCTTCTCTACTTACTACTGCCGTCAGTGTGTGGCTATTTTTTACGGGTCGATAGAGCATGGGTGCCGTACTACCGTACGGTATTTCGATGGTACTAATAGTTAACCCTAACCCTCGAGCTTCAGTGTACACGGCAACATATCTCTCGACACAATGAATGTGCAATAGCCTGGCTCTACTACTTGGCTTGCCCTCTTGAGAGTTGGCCCTAGGGCTCTGATATTGTGTCGTCAGTTTCTGTTGTTATTTTTTATCGGATTGTCAATGCATTAACCTACGTACGCAGGTACGACGATAGAGCCAAATAAACTTCTGTTTCCGATAATTTAATTACAATTCTTCCCGATGAATTCTGATGAACTGTTAAGATAGCCAAAAACAGAGGCTTTTCGACCCGAGTTCTTATTATTTTCCATCTGAGTTGTGCATGCTCAATTGTTGCATTAATGTTCAATTTTTCCCATTTCTATTTCACCCTCTTCGCAGACGCTATTTGGTTCCTGAGACGTTTTTCGGTAACTGACCCTCTTCGTATATACTATTTAGTTCCTGAACAGCGCATGCATGGCTTGACAACGCCACTTACTCATTGCACATGCTCACTGGCTGTCTAGCATTTCCAAGCGCATGCTCACTGTGTTTTTATAGATAATTTACGGACGTTCTTTGGTAACTGCCGCATGCGCATTGCTTAGTTCGAAATTCCCATTTCTTCGTAGTAAATGCTACCGCTACTGTTTCTTAATGACTGTTTCTTCTTGATCGGAGCAGCCTAAAGGTGTGGCGCGAAAATAAATGTATTTTTAATACATACTTGCCATTTTTGTGACCACTTTGAAGACAGCAAGTTACGATAGCATGCAGGATGCGTCTCATTTTGGGGTATTAAAAAAGTCGGTGCTTGGTGGTGCCAGGATTTTACTGTAGGCCTAGGCCTAGCTAGGTGCCTATCCCTATGCCTAGCTTATATAATATGTACCCTTACAGAAAAAAAAATCTAAAAACGTTATAGACCTTCTATAGAGATTAATCAATTTCTATAGAAATTAGTATATTCTATAAAATTGTTTTATAGAGGAACTAGTTTCTATAGACTTCTATAACATTCTATATACACATATTTAATGTAATTTCTATGATCTTAATTTTTTTTTGTTTTATTCAATATTTTATTGACACATTCGTGTCTGACCAGTATAGTCCTATCAACATGTTTACATCTTGCATATTCAAAAATTCTATAGAATATTCTATACAAACGATATGACAAGTTTTCTATAATAAAACTAACTATATAATTTCTATATTTATTCTATAAAAAACAAATATAGGCCTTTACCTGTATTTTTTTTTAACGTACTAAACCAAGAGTAATTTTAAAAACTGTAACTTTTAATAGACTATAGAAAATATATTATATATATATATATATATATATAAACTCTATGGAAACGTTTATAATCTGTAAAAATGTTTTATCTATAGAAAGTATATATAAAATGTATACAAACGCTATGGAAATGTTTATCTGTAAAAAAAGTTCTTTATAGAAAGAATATATAAATTCTATACAAATCTATAGAAATTTTAGAATAATATACAATTTTTTTGCAGTGTAAAATATATTATTATTTAGATATTAATAGATTTTTTATAGAGTGTTTATGGAGTAAAAACTTTTAATTTTTCTATAGAAAGTATATATATATATATATATATATATATATATACAGTATATATATACTGTATATATTACTGTACTGTACTGTATATATACGGTATCTCTTTAGTTTATTTTAATTTGCAAATTTCTAGCGCGTAGAGACGTATGTATTTTGCGCTTTACAAATCCAATTAATATTATTATTATTATTATTATTATTATTATTATTATATATATATATATATATATAGACAGCATATATACAGTATATATTAAATATATATATACTGTATAGTATATATATATAGTATATATATATAGTATATAGTATATATATAGTATATAGTATATATATATAGTATATATATATATATAGTATATAGTATATATATATAGTATATAGTATATATATAGTATATATATATATATGTATATATATATATGTATATATGAAATATGTGACCTAAGACAACAAAAGGTCTGTAAACTCGCATCACCAGGTTTCGAGAAAAAGGGCCAAATAGACAGTATAACATGTAATTTGAGCAAAATCTGATTAAATCATAAATATAAAGTATTACCATTAATCTTACTATTTTAAAAGTTGGTGTTCAATATTTCATAATTTCTAAACCCTAAAATTTAGTAATTTTATGAAGACGAGAAACGTATATGAATTCCAACTTTCAAACCGCCATACTTCACTTCCAAACAACTTATTCACCTACACAAAACTCAGGCCCTACAGTATGTTCCGAAAGTATTTGTAGTGCATCGTACTCTGGTACAAAGCTTACGTAAATGTATACCTAAATGAAGGAAATAGCCTTGAATTAATTTAAAGAATACTACACTGTTTCATGACCTGCTGAAAAAATATTTGGAAAGCCCTCTGGCAGTGAAGCGGACCAGAAATGATGTAGATTGCGGTTGAGTACATGTTAAGAAACTAGTTGTGGTTTTTGAAACTTTAAAAAAATATTGAATCA